GTGGGACAGCGACCGACACGAGCACGACGCAGCCACTAGACCTGGCACAGCTACCTGACTGGACCTGGCTACCTGGTGGGACGGGGGAACCGGACGGGTGTCGGTGTGGAGGGTGTACAGACCAGAGCCCGGCTCCTGACGAAAAGTGGCCAGAGGGGCGTACGTGTCACCGTCCACACAGACTGCAGTGTCACCCGAAGGCTCAAACCAGACCCCGACGTGCTGTCTCGCCAGAGGAGCCACACCAACCAGGTTCCTAGAGAAAGTAGGAACGTGGAGGCCGGTCAGAGAACCGGAAGGGGCAGCTGGGCACGGGAGGGTAGTGGCGTGAGTCGCAATGACCGGTCCCGAAGAGGGATCGGCCAGTGCTACAGAAACCGGCGTCGAGAGTGGAGTAAGAGTCGTGCTGTCGCGGAAGAAGCACTGCGTCGCTCCGGAGTCCAGTGTGAAGGAGAGCGACGCGTCCGCCGAGGGAGCACCTGTACTAGTAGCTAGACAGGATCCTACACCAGCACCTACTCTAGCAACAGGCAAAGATCCTACGCTAGGTACAGGCAAGTAAACAGATCCGACAGCACTATAGTCAACATCAGCATACATGGCATAAGACCTAGCATCATCCATAGACATATCAAACACAGCAACACCACGAGCAAGGAGTGGTCCCCAGCGCGGTGGCGGGGGAGCGGAGGGACCGTGGTGCAGGACGTACAGGTCGTCAAGACGGCTGAAGCAGCGTGCAGCAGAGTGGTCAGGGCGGCCGCAGTACGTGCCCCTGTGCGGACCCGTCAGGATCCAGTACTCACAGGGACCAACGTCGCGGCCGGCCGAGCGGGGTCCCCGACTAGAAGGGGCACCACTGCGCCCAGTGCTCGGGGGGCCCGTAGGTCTCCACTGCTGCGGGGGGGCCCACTGCTGCGAAGGGCCCCACTGCTGCTGAGTGCCCCACTGCTGCAGAGTGCCCCACTGCTGGGGCTGCAGCTGAGGCGGACGCTGCTGTTGGCCCTGGCGCTGCTGCTGCTGTCCTTGCCGCTGCTGCTGTCCAGGCGGTGGCAGCTGCGGAGGAGTCTGCTGCTGCTGCTGCAAAAACCCCTCACCACCGTCTAGAGGAGAGCCGTCAGGTCCCGAGTCACCCCCGCCGCCACCCCCGCCACTAGTACTACCACCACCGCCGCCACCCGCAACACCCCCAGAACCCCCGCCGCCCTTCCCTCCCTTCTTGCCGGACTTGCCACGTTTCTGTCCGCCAGAGACAGAAACGGCCGCCGTCTCCTCAGAGGCAGAAGACGCGGCAGTGGCAAGCAAGGCAGTGAAGGTGGGAAGCTGTGGTACCGCACACCCCTCAAAGAGACGAGGAGGAGGCGCGGAAGAGGCGGAGGCAACAGCGAGGAGGCTACTCTCGATCTTCGAGAGAGCGGTCTCAAGAAGATCGATAGTAAGCTCAGTGGGGTGCTTCAGGAGAAGCGCGTCGCGGGCTGTGGCTAGACGGTCAGGGAGGCGAGTGACTAACCAGTGAATAGTGAGCCACATGGGGGGGGGTGCAAGGGCAAGCTGTTCCTCAGTGCAAGCGGCCTTGAAGCGAGCTTCAAGGGAGCGCAGGTGGGTAGCGAGGTCAGCAACACTCTCAAAGGAGGCGAGGTCAGGGTAGATAAAGGGGACGAGGAGGAGGCTGAGGGAGGCAAAGGAGGGAGTGGAGTAGCGAGCAACAATAGCAGTGTAAAGGTCTGCAGCAGACTCGACCCGAGTGAAGTGGACAGCCTCAGTCGGCGGGAGAAGGTCGGTTAGGGCGAGGCAGGCAGCAGCGTCACGAGACTCCCACACGTCACGAGCGAGGAACCGGCGCTGGTACTCAGCCTCCTGCTCGGAAGTAGGCGGTGGGGTAGTGGGCAGCGGTGAAGGCTGCGGCGGGGCGGGCACAGCACCGGACGCATGCGCAAACAGGTGCACGCCATCCTGGCGCTGGCTCCTAAGGTGGCGCTAGGCCTGCGTCAGCCAGGTACTAAAGTCGATCGCACGCCCCTCAGGGTCGAAACGGAGCACGCGAGACGTCGCCATGAGGGGCGAGGACAAGGGATAGCGGCCGCCTGTCAAAATTAGAAGAAAGAAAGAGGATTGAACTAGCAGGAATGAGGATACAAATAGCAAAACCCTAGAAGGGTTGTACTCGCTATAGAGCACCCCACTACAGGCTAGAACATAAGATAATATTCTGACACACCCCCATAGCCAAAGTGGGGTGTAATCAGCAGAGCAGGCAAAGCAAAACAAGCTCAGGGTGGATCACAATGTCACCACACATTCTGAGCACAAGTTCAAGAAGAAATAGTTTAGAGTTCACAATTATAAGCAAAGCTAGTGGTAGTCACAACGGGCAAGTGAGGAGGAGGAGGGAGAGTGAGGGGAGAGGAGACAGGAGGCGACGGCTGAAGCTGCAGACACACGGGCAACAGGAGGCAGACTGGCACAGCGGCTACCGGACAGCGCCCGGACTACAGGAGTAACAGGCCCCGCGGCTCAAATAGCGGCAGACGGGCAACGGACCCACGGGCGGCTGGCACAGCTGGCTACGACTGGGCTACCGGGACAGCGCCCCGGACTACAGGTGCTGCGAACGACAAACTGACAACCTCCACTCAACCTCTCGCACACAGTCCCACCCCCCTGATACACACCCACTGCTACACCGCTAGCTCTACTCCCACGCACCCCCCTTAAACCCTAAACCCGAGTCTCCCACACAACCACCCCCCTCAGCGACAGCTGCAGCAGTGGGAGACGGAGGAGGAGGAGGAGCAAAGGGAGGAAGGCACACCGAGCACCCCCATACCCGCCACCCCACAGCGGCCCCCGAAGGAGCCGCGACGGGCGACGGGAAATGGGGGGGAGGGGAGAAAAGGGGGGGGGGGGGGGGGGGGGGGGGGGCGGTGCCGCGACGAGGGGCGGGGCCGCGACGGTCGGGGCGGGGCCGCGACATAGGGCGGGGCCGCGACGTAGGGCGGGGCCGCGACATAGGGCGGGGCCGCAACATAGGGCGGGGCCGCAAAGGTAGGGCGAGGCCGAGCCGGGCAGGCGCACGGGCGGCGACGGGCCGGGGCGGGGCCGCGACGAAGGGCGGGGCCGAGCCGGGCAGGCGCACGGGCGGCGACGGGCCGGGGCGGGGCCGCGACGTAGAGCGGGGCCGCGTCGAGGGGCGGGGCCGCGACGATCGGGGCGGGGCCGCGACGTAGGGGAGAAGCCCGCCGCGCGCCCCGGGGCGCACAGCGGGCAATGAACCGCCGCGCGCCTCGGGGCGCACGGCGGGCAGAAAACCGCCGCGCGCCTCGGGGCGCACGGCGGGATGAAAAAATGCCGCACGCCACGGGGCGTGCGGCTCAGAGAGTAGTAGCAGTAGTAGCAGCGGAAGCTAAGCGGTGGTAAGCCCACCCACAGGATCGATCCAGGGGGATCGACCTGCTCTGATAGCATGTCAAAGTTAGAAGAAAGAAAGAGGATTGAACTAGCAGGAATGAGGATACAAATAGCAAAACCCTAGAAGGGTTGTACTCGCTATAGAGCACCCCACTACAGGCTAGAACATAAGATAATATTCTGACACCGCCAGCCGCGAGAGGAGGAGGAGAGGGAGGTGAGTGCGAGGCGGGTGCGCGCAGGCGGGGCGCGCACTGGCTGGGCGCGGGGCGGCGGGGCGCGCGCTGGCGGGGCGCGCTCCGGCGCGGCGCGCTGGCGGGCGGCTAAGCAGGGCGCGCGCTGGCGGGCGCGGCGCGCTGGCGTGCGCGCTGGCGGGGCCCGCTGGCGTGGCGCGCTGGCGGGCGCGCTAGCGGGCGCGCTGGCGTGCGTGCTGGCGGGCGCGCTGGCGAGCTCGCTGGCGGGCGCGCTGGCAGGCGAGCCGGCGGGCTCGCTGGTGCGCCCGCTGGTGGGCGCGCTGGCGGGCTGGCGTGCAAGCTGGCTGGCGCGCAGGCTGGCTGGCGCGCTGGCTGGCTGGCGCGCTGGCGGGCTGGCGCGTTGGCTGGCTGGCGCGCAGGCTGCTGGCGCGCTGGCTGGCTGGCGCGCTGGCTGGCTGGCTGGCGCGCAGGCTGCTGGCGCGCTGGCTGGCTGGCGCGCTGGCTGGCTGGCGGGCGCGCTGGCTAAGGGCGGGGAGGGGAGGGGCGCGCCGGCTGGGGCGTGGGGTAGGGCGCTGGCGGGCTGGCAGGGTGCAGTGGTAACCCTAGTGGTAGGGAAGGGCGGGCCTAGGACTAGGAGCGCTAACCTACTGCTGATACCATGTCAGAATGAGAACTACAGCGGAATGCATTGTGTTGACAGGATTGGGGTACATCACCTAACCCTAACGAGTTGTACCCCATATAGCCCAACCCACTACAGGCTATAATATTTGACACCCACCCCCCCCCCCCCCCCCCCCCCCCCACACGCGGTCAACTCCGTTTCAGTGTGACTCACGTCACTATACTGATTCGTCAGTGTTTCTTTCAAAGAAACACGCAAAATGGTCAGTGTGACAAGGTAGGATATACTGAAATTTCAGTGCAAAATTGAAGCATATGCTGAATTTTCAGGGAAAACGAAAATCACAGCTACAAAATCAGCGTAATCAGCGTGTTTTACGCTGATATCTGAGGGCCTGCTTGGAAGCCTTGTATCTTGATTTTATATAAATTGTCAAGGAGGATTTATATTAAACACACGGTTGCCCAGCCGTGGTTGTTACAGCAACACCCACCACCCACATCTGCCGAACGACAGAGTCAGTGCTCGCCATACTCTCGACAAAAAGCAGCGAAGCACTGCAGCATCCCAGCGCAGCACATCTCACCAGTTCCTCGCATGATACGCGACGCGACCCACCAAGAGTAAACTGTTAACTTGGCTTCCCCAACGGCTAGCCTTCCATCGTACGGCCGTTTCTATTCAAGCGGCTGGCGGCGACTGTTGTACCTTCCGCAGACAGCGTGCGCTGTCAGTAGTGCTGTGCGGGTGGCCGCTGCCACACGCGGCGGCCAATGGGCAACAGCCACAGCACCGCGCACTCGCCCCATGCCCACGGCAGAGAGCGCGGCGGCAGAAATTCCGCCGCCAATGTTGCCGCCGCAGACGCTGGCAGCGCAGACGCAGGCCGCACGAGCGCGGCGGAAGAAGGACCGCCCGCCGCAGCGGAACCCGTGGGATCGCCGGCAGAAGGCAGCGAGTCAGCGGCACGGCAGCGGGCGAGCGGCGCAGCTGAGGGGCAGCGACGGGGGCTGTCGGCGCTGACGGCGGGGCTTCTCTCCTCCGCGCGTGAGCACAGAGGCGCCTCGCGGGGGCGCGGATGGCGCACGCATGGCGGCACCTTGGCTCTAGGCGCCGCGCAGGCCAACGGCGCAGACGCGCAGGTACCGCGATGAACCTGCTGCCTTGCTCCGTCCAAGACCTGGCAGTGGTGACGCCACATCGCGTTCCGCGCTCTCCCTCCCTTCCATCCCTACCCCTTCGGTACTATGCGGACCTTCGCTCAGTTTCTACCCGTGGGTTACATCCCCCCTCTCCGCCCACGATCTCCCTGTTGTGCGCAGGTGCGCGCACCCCTTGCCACCCGCCAGCCTTCCGCTGGCACTGCGGGCAGGGGAAGCGCGGGGAGACGCGGGGCAGCAGGGGCGGGCGCAGGGGCTGGCGGCACTGGGCGGTCCACCACGGCGGCTGCTGCAGCGGCGGCGGCAGCAGCTGTAGCGGCAGTGACGGCAGTGGATGGGGAAGCGGAGGCAGGGGCTGCGGGCAGCGGCAATGGCGCTGCTGCTGCTGCTGGCCGTGCGGCGGCCACAGGGGGAGCAGCAGGCGAGGCAGGCGGAGGCGGGGGGGGAGGGGGAGGAAGGGGCGGGGAGGCGACGGAAAGGGGGACGGGCGGAGGGGAAGGGGAGGGCGAGCAGGCAGCAATTCAAGAACAGGTACGGAAAGTGGGTTGGAGCAAGGGATAGGCTTCGACGGTGGCAATACACGAGCATATAAATTCCCATTGCTTTCCCACATACCTTTCTCATTTTCCCTCTTCGCCCACCCTTCCCCCCTTCCCCTTCACAACTGCCTATTCCTTCAGTAGGCCCTATCTTTCCATTCTTGTCAACAGCTCCCTTCCCCTGTGTATCTCCCTTGCCCTCACCGAACTCACCCCCTGGGCGCGGCTTACTGCAGCGCACGCAGACGGTGCGCAGCCTGGTGAACCTGCGCAAGCACTCCGTGCACCTGCTGCCCGTGCCACGCCGCCTGCAGTCGGCGGTGCCAGGGGACCAGGGGGGACCAGGGGTTCAGGGGGAGCGAGGAGGGGGTGGCGATGCAGCAGGGGGGAAAGAGGCAGTGAGCGAGGAGGCTGAAACAGAAGCAGCTGTGGAGGAGGGGAGAGACGAGTGTGAGAGGACCCAACAGCATGACGGACAGCAGCAGCAGGAGAGCCTGGGAGGGAATGAGGGTGAAGCGTCAGGGGAGTCAGCAAGGGGAGTAGAGGAGGGTGTGAGTGGGAGCGTGGTGAAGATCCCACCCCTCTCATACCCGGCTGATGCCTGCTTGCCTGCGTCTGCTGCCCACCTGCCACCACCGTCAGCATCGGCAGCAGCATCAGGAGCAGCTGCAGCATCGGCAGCTGGGGCAGCGCAGGAAGCAGGGGAGGGGGATGCAGCGGCAGCAGGCGGGCAGGGAGTGGAGCACCCGTACGTCTATGGGCTGTCGTTCATCGCGGACTGCTCTGTGCCCTGCAAGTAAGACCACACCCGGGCCATCAAACACCCCCATGCCATGCCCTATTGCACCGTGTTTGCTCCTCCCTCGCCACCGTGTTGGCAGCAAGCAGCGGCCGGTGTGGCAACATTAAACCACTCTCTGTTTCCATGGCCGTGACTGACCGTCTTATCCGCACCTGCCTGCCTCACTCCTCTCCATCTTCCCCCCACATGTTGCTCGGCGCGCCTCCCGTGCTCCTCCCATGCAGTGTGACGGTGCATGTCATGGCATATGAGAAGGACAGACACCGAAAAGACAAGCCGCCCAGGTGGGTGGGTGCGTGGGTGCAGAGGCATGCTGTGTTGACGGGTGGCAGTGGGGTAACTCAGTAGAGGGGGACTGGTAGGTGCGAGGCAGCACATGCCATATCTGTAGCACGTGGAGCGCAGTGCATAGCAGAGCAGAGGACTATTCAGTTGGCGCGTAAGGATTGCGGATTTAGCTTTGACTTAGTGCGGCACGTTTCGTTGCATGTGTGCTGTTGCCCATGTGGCTGTCCATGTCCGTCGCCCCTTTGCCTTCACATGGTAACTCCCACGACTCGCCGCCTGCATCAAGTGCCCTCATATCTCCACACTCTCATTTTCGCCCGCATGCATACCCCTGCTCAACCTCCCCCCACCCGTCTCCCCACCCTCTTCCCCCCCCAGGCTCAAGTCGAAGGTGACGCAGCGCGAGGCGAGTGCAGCGGGCGTGGTGGCGGGGCTGGAGCAGACCTTCTCGCTGCCGCCCTCCTGCCTGCTCGCCTTCGATGGCTTCCAGGTCGCTCCCTCTTGCTGCACCCTCATCCGCCTCCCAGGGAGGAGCGAGTGCGAGGGAGAGTGTGAGGGAGCCATGAGGTTTGAAGAATCGCTGAAGGAAAATGGATCAGGCAGAAATTGGGATGTCGAGTTTGGGTATCTCTGTGAGATTGAATGTGTGTGCTTTGCACCATGTTGAGCTTGCTGACTGCACCTCAGGTGCACACGTCTGTGTATGCGCCTGCCATTAACTTTTGCCGTGCTCGTTTGTGTGTGCGTGCGCGCGCGCGTGTGTGTGTGTGTGTGTGTGTGTGTGTGTGTGTGTGTGTGTGTGTGTGTGTGTGTGTGTGTGTGTGTGCATGGTCTATCACAGGACGCGCAGCTGACGTCAACCAAGACGTCACCATCGCACACATACCCCATTGTCATCCGCATCCAGACAGCGCTGGTAAGCCTCAACAATGACCCATGCGTTGCTTCACTTACTGGTGCTCTCCACCTGTGATCAATCAACCTTCAAGTACATGCTCATCCTCTCCCACTAGAACCCTGTCAGGTGTGGCCCGGCATTCATGCTGTGTGCATGTGTGCCCGTCTGTGCCTCTCCCAGCCTGCAGGTCGGTCGCATGACCCAGCAGCACGGGCGCAGCAGCAGACGCACACCACGTATGCCACGCTCGTCAAGCAGGTCCTCCCACACCCTCTCACCTCGCTCCCTCTGCTCCGCCTTTCCTTCTGCCTTGCGCTACCTGTGCCCCGCTTGGGATTCACTCCACTTCTCCCTCTGATGTGTCCGCACTCCACCTCTGAGTTGCCACGTTGCAGCCCGTCACTTGCATGGCCTGTCGTCTCTTTCCCCATCCATCCGTGCGTGCGTGTGGGCAGGCGGACAGCACGTACGGCGTGCAGGTGTTGAAGCAGGTGCTGTGGGTGGGCGGCTGCTCGTACGTGCTGCATGAGATCTTTGGCATCGACGGCCCTGCCTCCTCACCCGCCCCACTGCATGCTGCACCTGGGGATACTGCCGATCCCAATGGAGGGGGGGCTAATGTGGTGCGTGGGGTGGATGGGGTGTGTGGGGGCGGATGGTGAGGTGGATGGTGGGGCTACTGAGTGGGAGGGAGAGCCAGGGTAGCATGCATTGGGCTGTGGCAGGAGCAGGTGTGGGTGCTTTATCTGGCAGTGAGCAGGAACGAGTGGATGTGCTCAAGCACATGCGCTTCACATTTATTGTGCTCCCGTCCTTGCTGTGTCCCCTTGGCCCCGTTTCCTGCTCTCATGCCTCTCCACGTCTCTCCCTCCTCCCTCCTTTCCCTTCCCTCCGTGCTCTCCCTCTCTCCTCTTCTCCCTCTTCCTGCCCTCTTTCTCGCCCTCCCATGCCGTTCTCCTCCCTGCATGCAACACCGCCCTGGTGCAGGAGTGCGTGGTGTGTCTGGAGGACCCGCGAGACACGCTTGTGCTGCCATGCCGCCACCTCTGTCTCTGCCTGCACTGTGCCAAGGCGCTCCGCTTCCAGTCCAACAAGTGCCCCATATGGTACCAGTGCCCTCTTGCCTCAGGCTATTGTGTCTCTCCGTTCTTCGTATCGCCCGTGCCATCCATCGATTTGTCTTTGCTCCCTTGCCTTGCCGCTCATTGTGGTTCTTCTGCCCCTCTGCATGTTCCCTGCCCCACATCGCTCTCTGGCTGCTGCCTGCCGCTGTGCCCTGTGCGCCTCATGCCAGTCGCAGCGTCGTGCAGTCCCTGCTGCAAATCAAGCTCTCAGCCCCACGTGACGCCACACCGGGGGAGGCTGCTGCTGCTACTGCCACTGCAAATCGTAGCGATGCTGCTGCTGCTGCTGCTGCCTCTGATTCTGGTGTTGGTGATGGTGCTGGTAGCAGTTCTGGTGCTGCTGGTGCTGGTGCTGCTGCTGATGGTGGTCATGCTGCTGCTGGTGCTGCTGTGGACACTGTGACTGTCAGCTCTATCAACACTGAGTTAGCAGGAGTCGGGCAGGGGGAGGAGGAGCGGAAGGGGAAGAGGGTGGAGCAAGCTCAAGTAATGGAAGGGAGGAAAGTGCATGGGGAGAGGGAGGTGCAAGTTGGTGGGGAAGAAGATGGGCAAGGGGTGGAGGAGAGTGAGGGAGTGAGGGAGACAGAGAGGAGTTGTACAGCTGGCACAGAGGAGAGCATTATGTGTGGTGGGGGTAGTGGCGTGGCTGAAGGTGGAGCGGAAAGGATGAGGGCAGACGGACAGGAGGGGAAGGCGAGCAGAGAAGAGGGCGGAGAAGCAGGTGCGGACTACAGGGTAGTCGGTGCAGAGCAGAGGGTTTCCATGAGCGGCAGTGGAAAAGGTGTGGAGCGAGGAGTAGACAGAAGAGAGATGACGTGCGAAGAGGAGAGCCAAGGAGCGGGAGGAAAGGAGGCGCGCGGAAAGGAGGAAGTGATGGTGCAGGTGGAAAGCGGGCCTGGCAGTGGGGAGTCGTATGCAGGGCAGCAACAAGGGGTAGGAGTGGCCCACGAGGCCCGGGTTGAGGTCGGGTGCTAGTGTGCTGCGGCCCTTCCCTCAACTCACGCTAATTTTTCTCCCCAATATAGATTGGCTGGCCAAATAGTGGGCTGTGTATCATTGACCATTGCCAGGTATGGTATGTGAGAACGGTTCTAGCACTAGGTACTGTGCTATGTACGGTAAAAGCAGCTGCCTGGATGGATGCTCTATCCGGAATCGGCACCTGCATGATAAGGGCGTAGTACGTGGTTCTTGCTACAAGCTTATTCAACTCCCGGTTCAGTCCAGCCAGTCAAGAAACCAGTGCAGGGCCCTGTCCTTCCCAGACCTTGGACTTGGCAAGCAACTCCAACTTACACTACACTGGTTCATCCAATTGTTCCTTTTCTCTCGTACGGTAATACGGTAAAAGCCTGACGCACAAGGTAACAGCAACAACAACGGCAATCTCTAGCATGAGCGCGTGAGGCGCGGCAGCGGCTACTGCACAGAGAGCACCTCGATGTCAAAGACGAGTGTGGAGTTGGGCATGATGCCCCACGCGGGGAAGCCGCCAGCCCCGTACGCATAGTCAGGCGTGCACTGCAGACACGTGGGGCAGGGATGCACGGGGGGACACACGCACATTCTCGGCACAAGCCTGGGGGAGTATCCTCAAAGGGTGGACTGGCAAATAGGAACGCACAGGTATGTGCAGGGGAGGTAAAATCCGTCCGGGGAGAAAGGAAAAAGGTAAACAGATACCGGGATCGGAAGCGAATCGGAAGCAAATCGAATCGGGTGTGAGGGGAAGGTGGAGTTTGTTCGAAGAGAAAAGGAGAGAGGAGCAATGGGACGGATAAGAAGGGAGGAGGATGGAGAGGGAGGATGAAGCGGTTAGAGCGGAGGGATGGGGAGGGGGTGGCGTACAGTGATGCGAGCTTGCTCGCCCAGCTGCATGTTGATGACACTCTCGTCCCACCCTGGCACAGGGGACGGACGGGCATGCGGACGCGCAGGGGGGGCAGAGGGCACACAGGAGGACGCGGCTGAAGGAGGCTGGTGGCACGGAGAGGAATGGAAGGCGGGACGGAGCACCGGTGGAGAAGTGCGGGAAGCGAGGGGGAATGGAGGTAGCGCAGGAATGAGTGGTGTGCGTGCATGCGCGTGTGTGTACGTGTGTGTACGTGTGTGTACGTGTGAGTACGTGTGAGTACGTGTGTGTACGTGTGTGTATGTGTGTGTACGTGTGTGTACGTGTGTACGTGCGTGCATGGGAGTAGCGGTGCTCACCCTTGATGACATTGCCCAGCCCCACTTGGAAGGTGAACGGCTGCTGCCCTGGGTCCTTGGTGCTGCCGTGCGCCATGCACCGCCGCGCGCGGGTGGCGCGCGCACAGCCAGCGTCACGAGCGTGGGGGGGAAAAGGGGAGTGGGTGCGGAGGAGAATGGGCAGAAGGGGATGGGAGAGGAGCAGAGGCACGGAGGGTTGAGCATGTCAGTGGCGTGAAGAGCAGCAAGGGCGAGGCACTGACAAAACAAGGGCGCAGGATAAGAGCAACTTATACTCTACGCAAGCAGCAAATCAAAGCATGCGGGGAGATCAGTCCCCACCCCACCCCGCCCCCCCACGTCTCGCCCCCGCGTACCTCCAGAACTTCTGACTCAGATCGCGGTTCTTCCCTGCCGTACCGGCACCCCCCCGCGCGTCGCACGATGAACGCGGCGAATACGCGAACGGGTGGACGCACGGGAAGGCGGAGGGTGCGGATCGCACGTGGACGACGGACGAGAATCGGGAGCCAGGAAGACGATCGCAGGGAACGGAAAGAGAACAATAAGAAAAAAAACGGAGATTCGCGAAAAACAAATGGTGCGGAAACAATCAGGATCTGCATCGGGATAGACGGGTGCGGAAGTTCGACTCGATGCGACGCGACATACGAGGGCAGCGCGGCGCGAGGAACGGGGCGCAGCGGCGAGGGGCGGCTCACCGTAGCCGGTGCAGTGCACGGTGACGGTCTGCCCCTTCCTGGGCGTGGGCCCCGATCCCGCGGCGAGCAGCTGCTTCTCGAACCCCATCGTCGCTGATAACGCCGCCGTCGCTGCTCTCGTCGTCGTGCTGGCGCGCGCCGGGTGGGCAAGGCACGGTGGTAGAGGCGGGGAGAGAAATGACGAAGCGGATTGGTGAGTGAGTGGCTAGGGTGGAACGGGAGTGGCAATTTGTGGAATGCATTGCTCTAGCAGGGGTGGATGGAGCAGCCAGGGACAGAACACTCTGTACGCTGTTTTGGCACACTAGTGTACCCTTCATGAGTGAGTGGAACCCAATAATTAAGCCTGGCATATAATCATGTAATCATGCTACAATTGCTTCGCTTGGTTGGTAGCGCCATCTGCTCCCTGTCAACAGGACGGCCAGGCCACTACGCTGGCATCCACAAGTACCTCACTGCTCAGCTGCTCTATACCTTTACTCGTCGCTACCGATTACTCGTGCAACCGACTTTCTTCCTTCCGTGCACTTTACTGCTGCTCTCCTCCTCCCACCGCTCACGTAATCGCATCCTCCTCGCCTTGCATTTGCCCGCGCCGTTCCCGCGCAGCAACCCTCCCCTACCACCCATGAGTCGGTCCCCGGCCATGCCCACCACGCCACCAGCGGGAGACTGCGCTATCGCCAGGCTGGGGGAGCATGTGGGGGATTGTTCTGTGCGTAATTACGTGCTGCGCGAGCAGGCGGGCAGGCGGAAGCTGAGCGGGGTGTACTCGTGCGTGGTGGTCGGGGGCACGTTCTTCCATGCGCCCCTTGCCCCGCGCGCGCCTACTCTTTTTCGCCCACTCGCTAGCCGCCGTGTCCCCACTCAGCACCGACCGCGCACCACTCCGCCAAGCACATCGTGCTCTCCCTGCAGGTGGAGGCCATGGCGCCCAGCTATTGCAGGGGGCGCGGGCGATGCGGGCATCGGCGCTTGTGTTGGCGCTGGGCACGAACAAGCTGGAGGGCACGGTGTCAGGGCGCTCTCAGCGCACACGGTGCTCAGGGGCGCTCCCCTCGCCCGTATTCGCCGCCTGGTGCGGTGCCGCCTGCAGCATAGAACTCACTGTAAACGCCTTTCCTGCGCGCACAGCATAGAACTCAACAAAACTTCTCGGCACCCAGCTGCCGGAACTCTGCGAGGAGGAAGCGAAGACGGCATCCGTCCTTGCTGGCTTCCGTGGCCACCACGTACTCCGACTCGGTCGACGACAACGTCGTGCACTTGATGCGCTGGCTCGACCAGGAGGCTGCGGTCCCTCCGTAGATGAACACATAACCGCTCGTGCTCATCCGGCTCTGCTTGTCACCGGCGTCATCGGCGTCCACATAGCTGACCAACTCCAGCGACTCAGATCCTCCGTCGAACTCCGGGGCGGTGTCACACGTATTCGCGAGGTAGGCAAGGCAACGGTCGACCTCACGCCAGTGGTGGTCGCTCCTTAGCGTGAGGCTGTTCCCCAGCTTGCTGTAGGCGAAGGCGATGTCCAGCCTTGTCGTCATCGCTGCGAACTGCAGCGAGCCGACCTTCTGCTAGTACTCCTCCTCCTGTCACTCCTGTGCCTCCTCGTCGTCGAAGGTGAGCTCGGCGTAGGCGTCGACCGAGACCGGTGTCTTCGGTGTGCGCCCGGTCTGCTCCTCGTCGATGAAGCGCCTACGCAGCTTGTCGGTGTAGCCCTGCTAGTGCAGCCATAGCTTCCCCGCCAACCTGTCACGGACGATCTCCAGCCCCAGGTACTTCTGCACCGGTGAGATCTCACGCAGCTTGAAGGTGGATTCCAGCAGCCCCTTCAGCTCCTTCAGCATCTCAGTGCTGCTGCTGGCGGCGAGCAGGTCGTCAACGTAGACTAGCACCCAGCAGGCCACTCCGTTGTCGCCGACCTTGAAGTACAGAGCTTCGTCAACCTGACTCTTCTTCCACCCGGCGCCGACCAGCACGTCGTTGAGCACCAAGTACCACAGCAGCGGCGACTGCTTCAGCCCGTACATGCTCTTCAGCAGCTTGCACACCCGGCCGGTTCCGTTGTTGAAGTAGTCCGGCTGGGAAATGTAGAGCACCCTGTCAAGCTTGCTCTGCAGGAAGGCGTTCTTCATGTCAAGCTGCATCAGGTTGAGGTTGAGGACGGCGACAATGCTAAGGAAGATCCTCAGCGTGACGTAGCTGCCCACCGGCACGAACGTCTTGTCGTAGTCGGCGCCATACACCTGGGTGAAGCCCTTTACGACCAGCCTCGCCTTCTCGCGCTCGATGGTGTCGTCGATGTGATACTTCGTCGTCAGCACTCACCGGTTCTTCACGATGTTCACCCCCAGCGGGCGTTCGACCAGCTCCCAAGTGCCCATGTTGACGAGGCTGCGGATCTCCTCCTCCATGGCGGCCTTCACCGCCGGGCCCTTTCTGCTCGCCAATGCCTCCTTCACCATCATCGCCGAGATGTCCCAACGGTGCTCGGGGCTGGCATGCATGTCGGGGTCGAGCTCTGGAAACTCCTCATCCTCCTCGGTGTCGTCATACGCCAGGTCGTCGCCGTCCACGTCGTACACTGTGGTGAAGGCAGCGGGGACGAAGAAGTCGGGTGGCCTCCAAATTCGGCTGGACTTTCGGGGTTCAGGCTGAACCTCCACCACGTCGCGGTCGGTGGACTTCTCGGCGTCCCCTCTTTCGTCACCGGCTTCGCTGCCCTCCTCGTCGTGCTGCACCTCGGTCGGCTTCCCGGCCGGCTTCTCCCCTGTGGTCAGCTCCTCTGTCGATTGGTTCGCGCGCACAGAAAAGTTCGGCGACCACAATGACGACCATGCCTACCCACAAATGCTAAGGAAGCACATGAATCCTTATAGACGTAGGGAAAAGCATTCAACGACCCAAATATTGTTGTTGCATATTCGGGTGGCCCATGTTCAAATACACCTATCAGAGCAACTTCAGATTGGTTCGCGCGCACAGAAAAGGGTTTAGGGTTTAGGTTTTGGCGCCCGCGATGACGGCCGTGCCTGCCAACAAATGCCAAGGAAGCGCATGGATCCCTAAAGGCGTAGGGAAAAGCATTCAACGACCCAAATATTGTTGCATATTTGGGTGGCCCATTTTCAAATACACCTATCAGAGCAACTTCAGATTGGTTCGCGCACAGAAAAGTTCGGCGCCCGCGATGACGGCAGTGCCTGCCCACAAATGCTAAAGAAGCGCATGGATCCCTATAGGCGTAGGGAAAAACATTCAACGACCCAAATATTGTTGCATATTCGGGTGGCCCATATTCTAATACACCTACCAGAGCAACTTCAGATTGGTTCGAGCGCACAGAAAGGTTCGGCGCCCGCGATGACTACCGTGCCTGCCGACATATGCTAAGGAAGCACATGGATCCCCATAGGCGTAGGGAAAAGCATTCAACGACACGAATGTTGTTGCATATTTGGGTGGCCCATGTTAAAAAACGCCTACCACGGCAACTTCAGATTGGTTCGCGCGCACAGAAAAGTTCGGCGCCCGCGATGACGGCCGTGCCTGCCGACAGATGCTAAGAAAGCGCGTGGATCCCCATAGGCATGCATCCCCATAGGCGTAGGGAAAAGCATCGAACGACCCGAATGTTGTTGCATATTTAGGTAGCCCATGTTCAAATCCACCTATCATAGCAACTTCAGATTGGTTCGCGCGCACAAAAAAGTTCGGCGCCCGCGATGACGGCCGCGCCTGCCCACAAATGCTAAGGGCGTGTGTGGTCTGTCCAAAAGTTAAAAATAAAGTGCGAACTTTGAATGGTTACCCGTTTCGCCAAATTCGCCAACGAATCTTAGCGAAATGATGAAGTTATCGGGATTCCAAACGTTCGAACTGCAAATCTGAACTTGACTCGAGATTTAGTTGAGAACGTGCGTGCGCACTTTCAGACAAACGTATGTGATTTTCAGCACGTACGAGGAGCAGGGGAAACGGGCGGCAGCTTCGCGAAGCTGAAAATTTCAAAACGAAATCAGCCCACTAGTCAGTTGCCACGTGGCAATATCCGTGGTATGTAGGTGAGTACCGGGTAACCTACTTTCAGTTCGATTTTACCAGGTAACCTATTTTCTTGATGCGCGGCTCGGCGCGCAATATAAAAGGTCGAATGTCAGGGTTCGACCTTGTATGTGTGTGTGCTTTTTGCTGTGTTGTAGTCCAGATGTTCGAACCCCGATACAACTAAAGTCGAGTCTGATTCGACTTAAGTTCGTTTCGCACAACTCGCCCTAAAAACGTAAACTTTTACGATTTTCAAGGACCACACACGCCCTAAGGAAGATCATGGATCCCTATAGGCGTAGAGAAAAGCATTCAACGACCCGCATATTGTTGCACATAAGGATGGCCCATGTTCAAATACACCTACCACATCAACTTCAGCTAGGTTCGCGCGCACAGAAAAGTTTGGCGACAGCGATGACGGTCATGCCTGCCGACAAATGCTAAGGAAGCGCATAGATCCCTATAGGCGTAAGGAAAAACTTTCAACGACCCGAATGTTGTTGCATATTGAGGTGGCCCATGTTCAAATAGGTTTAAGGTTTAGGGTGTAGGGTTTGATGGAAAGCGGGAGAATGGGGCGGGGTGATGGAAAGAGGAAGAATAGGGCGTGGTGATGGAAAGAGGGAGAATGGGGCGGGGTGATGGAAAGAGGGAGGATGGGGCGGGGTGACGGAAAGAGGGAGAATGGGGCGGGGTGATGGAAAGCGGGAGAATGGGGCGGGTGATGGAAAGCGGGAGAATGGAGCGGGGTTATGGAAAGAGGGAGAATGGGGCGGGGTGATGGAAAGAGGCAGGATGGGGCGGGGTGACGGAAAGAGGGAGAATGGGGCGGGGTGATGGAAAGCGAGAGAATGGGGCGGGTGATGGAAAGCGGGAGAATGGGGCGGGGTGATGGAAAGAGGGAGAATGGGGCGGAATGATGGAATGCGGGAGAATGGGGCGGGGTGCTGGAAAGCGGGAGAATAGGGCAGGGTGCTGGAAAGCGGGAGAATGGGGCGGGGTGATGGAAAGCCGGAGAATGGGGCGGGGTGATGGAAAGAGGGAGAATGGGGGGGGGGGGGGGGGGATGGAAAGAGGGAGAATGGGCCCGGGGGGTGGAAAGAGGGAGAATGGGGCGGGGTGATGGAAAGCGGGAGAACGGGGCGGGGTGAAGGAAAGAGAGAGAATGGGGCGGGGTGATGGAAAGAGGGAGAATGGGGCGGGGTGATGGAAAGAGGGAGAATTGGGCGGGGTGATGGAAAGCGGGAGAATGGGGCGGGGTGCTGGA